CCGACGGGGGTGCCCGAGGTCCCCGACGGGGAGTGGGTGGGGGGCGGTGCCCCCGACGAGGTGTCAGATTTTCCCGACGAAAGCAAAGTGGGCGTGGTTGAGCTTCGATTAATAGGTTTCGAAAGTGGTCCTGGGGGCGAGGCTCCTGAAAATTTCGACAATTTAGGGGTTTGCAAAGGCTTATTTAATCGATTTAAGAGTCTACTAATATGTAAAAAATACATATAATGTTTTTTTCTCCCCGACGAATTGTGCTTTTTCTCCTCAACGGGGGAGGGGTGGAGTGGCAGCTCTCCCCGACGGGGGACCCTGGACCCCCGCTTGCGCCATCCCTGGTCATAGTAGGGATTTTTTTTAATGAAAAAAGTGAAAATCGATCAGTTTAATTGATTAATAAGTATATCTAGCAGTTATTATGTAGGTCTATCTAATAAAAATTGCTGATTTTCCTTGGCGTGTGCCATCCATACCACCCTGACTGGAGCCGTTGTAGGGCCTGAGTTGAACCCCTGTAGAAACGTACAGTAGCTTATTCTAATATTGACCCCCACCCGAAGTTGATTCCCCTGATTCCTAATGCTCTATGGCGTATTTATCACCTGGTAGATCTTTCCATATGATGGGAATACCATACATGGTCCTCCTGCCATTAATAAACCAAAAGCTAGTAACACGCTAAATAATATACCACCAGTCTGTTATTTAAAAAATCTAACGTATCACCTTGCTTAATTCGAAAGCCGTTTAATTGGTTTACTAAATAATGAATAGCATATTGTAACCTGTGTATTCATAACACATATTTAATTTAGGCCACATTTTTTATATGTATTTCACAATATCCGTCAACTCGTATAATATAGGCGCACATTGCTTGTTATTCATATTGCATTATATTGTAAGTATGTTCGTGTATCTTGCACTTAATTTATTCATTGAGGAATAAGCATACTGTACCCTGTGAATATATAACACATGTTTTATTTAATTAACCTACTGTCATCATTATAGAGCAAAATGCTGTAGTCGGTGCTGAAGTGCGAACATTTTGAGAATATGAACCTCGGTGCCCGGAAATTGCACTCTCATACCTTTAAAAATCTGACCGGTAATTCATAATCAACAATAAACAAATATTCTTCCTAATAAAAT